GAAGAGCGGCCCATGGTGACGTTCTGAGCTCTACTGCCTAAGCATAGCCTTGCTTCATTGGCTCTCAAGAAAGTAACCGTGGGCTCCATGTTAGAGCCAGGTTTTGAGACAAGGGACCGTTCTGTCCCACTTAGAGACTGTGGCTCCTGCTCTAAATAGGTACTGTATTATCAGGCCGCTGCCACTACTACTGCTTGTCACAGCAACAGTCACCTTTATTCAGTCTTTCAGGGGATTGATTTGTGGAGTTTTTAAAAGTGGCTGTCAGAGGGTGTATTCTCTCAACAGAAGTCGGAGGGGGGCAGGGGGAGGACACCTCTAGAAGGCCATGGTAATGCCACAGTCCTCTCCATTTCTCCGTCCTGTCAGGATGTGGGGCATGCATGCACTCATGTCTGGCGTGTTTTTCAAGCCTCCAGAGCTGGGATATGAACCATGACTGGCCAAGTGAGGTCCAGCCCCTTAGCACTGTGCTGTGCCGGCCTGCCTTGTTCAGTCCTGAGTTCAGTGGCCTGTAACAGGAGAGGAGCAGGCTACCCTTAGGAGGGCGACCTGGGGCGAGCCATGCAGCCCCTCGGCCTCTACTGACCCATTTATAAAATGCATATCGTTTGCTTTGTCTCGTTCTTGTTCTCAAGGATAAGGTTGTATCTAAGCCCCATGAGACCCTCTACATAAAGCATAGGAACACCCGGCCCCTGTTTAGAAGTCTAAGGACAGAGATCACACAGCGCTGTCAGGGTCCATGTGGCACATAGTCTTCTCTGACGACAGCAGCACCACCTGGCCACTTGCAGGAAAAGAAGAGGGAAGCAAAAGGAAGAGGAGAAAGATTTAAGAAGAGCGTGCACACTTATGGCCGCCTGCCTTCTCCTGGAGCCACAGTCTCTGCCTGGTTGATTTTGTTTTGTTCTCGTTTCACAAGAAGGCTCAGAAGAGACTCCTAGAGAGGAGGCAGTGGGTAGCAACAATGGCACCCCGTCATGCTCAGACTTCCTTAGATCTTGTGAATTTGCCATCTTCTCCCCTCCTTTTCTCCTTTCTCTTTCTTCCTTTCCTTTCTGCTTCTGTAATGGGATGCGAGGTACCTTACAAAAATATTCGTAATGAAATGGGCTGGACAAGTGATCCTGGCAAAGGTGATAGAAAGCCAGGGATAAGGTAATATGTGTGATTGCCGATCGATCGATCGAAAGCACCCAGGGCTTTCTATTGATGTGCACACAGTGGCCTCTCATTTGTATTCTTAAGCTCTGTCTTTTGAACTTGTTCAAGAAGAGATCAACTTGCAGGCTCCTGGGACAGCTCATTTCCTTGGTTTTCTCCTGCCATGCTTGTCACCCCTTCTCAGTCTCCTTTGCCATTTTCTCCTCCTTCCCCTGACCTACTGATGTTGGCAAGCCCTTGGATGTCCTGTTTCCCAGGGTGATTGCATCCATTGTCATGGCCTGGGCCGCGTCCAGGCTCCTGTGTTCTGCACCTACTCCTCTCCTGCCCATCCACCAGTACGATTGGCTCCTCTCACACGTCTCGAGCTTCTGACCTTCCCACTTTGTCTTTCCAATTTCTCTAGCCAAACACCTGACCCTGACACCCTCTCCCACCCAGGTCATCAGAAGCCACATTTTCCTCCCTTCACAGTGGATCTGGAATCTCAGTCCTCTCCCCCCGTACTGTGGCACTTGTCTTAGCCACCCTCATCTGTTACCTGGGTTACTGCGATAGCCGTCCGTGGAGCTCCCTGGGCCTGAGCGTGCCTCCCTGCAGCCACCCTCAGCCCACAGCTGGAGTATGCAGTTAGGTTGGGCCTTGGCCTGCTTCTGCCCAAACCCTATCCTGGGTCCCCATTTCACTCAGAGTAAAAGCTACGTCTTTACATTGACGTAGGAGGCCCCCACCATCTGGCCCCATTGTCCCAGCCCACCTCCCTCTCACCCTCTGTGCAGCCACCCTGGCCTCTGCTGTTCTGGATCACACCACACAGGCTGTCCCCTCAGCCAGGCGTCAGTAACCCCACTCTGCTGCCTGGCTGGCCACCTCTCCTCCAGCAGTTCACCGTCGCCTCATCTACTCTGCGAGGTCTGCCTCAAGCAGTAACTCGTATCCCGATCTTCTTGCTCTTTCCCACTGCACTGTGTCCTTCTTCGTGCTCTGATGAACTTACTGTGCTTGCTGTCTGATTCAGCGGAACGTAAGCTTGATGAAAGCAGGGGCCCTGTCTGTTGTGCCTAGGACAGGGCCTGCCATGTAGCAGACCCTCCACGGACGTTCGTGGACAAGTGAGTAAACACACTGCTTGCAGGACTGGTGCGTGTCCACGTGTATGCAAATTATTCTTTAAGTGTTCTTCTCATGAGATTCTACAGTTCTGATTCTGTCTGGTCCAGATTCACATAGTCGTTAGACAAACAGCTTTTCATGAATGTGCGTGTTGCTTAATGTATTGAACCATTTTTGCACATGTGTGTGATTCTATAATTTCCCTAACACAGGAGAATCCAGCTCTGGCGGTTGCAATTAAAACATGTAAAAACTGTACTTCGGACAGCGTGAGAGAGAAATTTCTTCAAGAAGCCTGTAAGTTTCTAGAAATCTCAGTGGAACTCCGTTTGACTTTCTGTCTGTGAAACCTAAACTGTCCCTGAAGAAGTAAGAAAACTGTTTTGACTTTTATGAGACAACTGCATTCGTTATTTTACTTTGCATATTAATGTATAAATTGGTGCAGGCACACATCTGCAGAGGTTTCCATCTAAACTTGTATTCTCTGTGTACAGGCACATTGGTGTCAGGCTCTGGACCATTAAACACCTTACACTGGAATTGGGCAGACGTGCACATTAGCCCAGATATGGCCAGGCCCTGTACAGAGCTGAACAGGGCACAACCCTGCTTTGATGGAGCCCAGGCAGGTGAAGGAGTAGGCCTGGAAGCAGCCCTGGAACTGCCGCAGAGTCAGGAAGAGAGCTCTGATGGTGGTGGGAGCTGACGTCTCCATTCCTCAGGCTCTCAGTTTGTGCTTCCCGGATGAAGTGGCCTCGGGCGAGTTGTACATGCATAGATGCTTTCTCCTAAACGTAGCTCTTAGAGGGCAAGGTCCTGGCCATCTTGTCCATGTTGAGCTTTTTCTGCCCGCCCCAAGCTGCAGTGTCGCTCTTCTTCCCCACATTGCTTGTTCCTTCTCATCTCGCAGGCCCTCGCTTGAACGTCATCCCCATAGGAATCCTTCTTGACCTCCTTAGCCGTGTGTCTCCCCTCGATAGTGTTTGTTGAAGAACCACACTTCAGAACAGTTTGCAATTAATTAAATGTACATTGGCTACAAATGGCCATTGCCTGTCTCTCCCTGCAGGCTTTGAGCACCATGGGGACAGGACCCGTGTGTAGGTTTTGCTTATGCTGCACAAAGGCACGCAGTATGTGCCCTGATGGTGCCTGAGGTTTGGTGTCCCTGGGACCCGTACATAAAAGAATGGCTTCTACCCTGCATTTATTAATAGTAAACATTTACCCCTGGCAGTGCAGTAAATTAATTTGCCAGAGGGTGTATCATATTCCTGACTCTCTGACTGAAGTACATTAAAGGCCTGGCCAGTGGTGTCTGTCGCAACAATTTCTGTAGCGTGCTTTGGCCCAGAACACACACCACATCAGCGGTCACTGTCCAACACCCTGTTGACCTCACTTTGGGGTATTCTTGTGCATTACATATTTTTAAAAATGCAAAAATTTTAAATTAATCTTTTTCTAAAATTATTCTGAAGTTACTTTATTGTAATTTTGTAGAACTTTGGAATTCTCATTACAAAATTCCATTATTTAGCTTTAGAAGAATAGTGGGTTGGACTAGCCTTGTTTTCTCCTTTGAAAGACTTGCATGACTGTCATCAAAGGGAAATGTAGATGCAGTCTCTCTGGGCGTCCATAGGGCTATAACAGGCAGCATGTAGGCAGGGTGTGGCCTCACCCAAGGACTGTGGAGTGGATCTGTAAAGGGCCACGTAGAAATAGCTGGGCTTAGGACCAGCAGTTAGCATAATGGCTCTGTCGCTGGACTCCCATGTAGTCGACTGCAGTTTGAGTCCTAGACCTGGTGGCTTAAACGCACTCCGGGCACGTGTGCGTGCGTGCCCAAGATCCCGAGAGGAGAAGGGATTGCGGTGTGGCCATCCCCCGGGGAGTGATTGCTCTCTTTCTGTCTCTCTGTCTCTCTTTCTGTCTCTCTGTCTCTCTCTGTCTTTCTGGCAAGCGCACCCACCCTATAGCAAACCCCCTCCCCCCCCAAAAAAAATAGCTGGGCTCGCAGGCCATGCACATTCTGCCACAGGCATCAGCTCTGTTGTGGCACTGTGAAAACCTCCACAGATCACACACACATACTGTTCCAGCAAAACTCCACTTACAAAACAGGGGCAGCCCGGGCCTTGGCTTGCTGCCCTCCATAAAGAAATAGCAGGTTTAACTACTCCCCCTGTTGACTTTAGTTCCATGTAGGTAGTCTCCTAGTGACCACAGGACTCCTCCGGTTAGTATGTGTAGTAAGGCCTTGGAGTACCTGAGTCTTGGGAAAGTCATGACGCGTCTTTGCATGACCACCTAATAGAAGGCTGAGGAGCTGCATGTGAGGACAAGCAAACCAAAGTTGAAAATAAAAGTAATCATAAGCTACCAGGTCCTGTTCTTGGAACATGTGGAAAAAATTGAGGGGACAGGGCACACTTTTGGTGTTTGAGTTCTCTCAAGAGAAAGCGAGGCAGCTCTTTGAGAATCTCCTGTGACCTTTGGGTGTATAGAGGGGGTGACGATGTACACGGTGTCCAGGTGAGTGCCGGGAGAAGCCCACCCCCGTAGGGCCCCCCAACTCCACATGACCTTTGGGTGTGTAGACAGGGTGTTGTGTACACAGTGTCCAGACGAGCGCCAGAGAAACCCATCCTCTCAGGCCTCCCGGCTTCAGCTGTACTCACCGTGGCCCTCCTCATGTGGGAGGAGGTAATGCCTACCTCGTGCCGTGAGAAGTGGATCCCAGAGTGAGGACTTGAAAACATACCCTTCGAGAAGTTGACATTGTTTAGAGAAGACACATGAGAATATGAGCATTGTCTTCAGATTTTCAAAGGCTTGTTATTGGGAAGTGACTTTAAGCATTTCTTTTTCCTAATGTAGGCAGAAAAAAAAATGGGATAGAAAGAAATGAAATCATTGATTAACGAAGGAAACAGTAAGATGTTATCATTGGTTCAATGGAGAATTCCAGGAGCTACACATGGGTCAGGAATAATGAATTCCAAAATAAATTTTTAAATACACGGGGCATTTTTACTTCATTTTCCTGAATACAACCTAGGTGTACCTTTTTGGGGAGGTGGGGGTAGAGGTTTTCACTATAGGGCGTGTGCGCTTGCCAGAAGGACAAAGAGAAACAGAGAGACAGAAAGTGAGAAATCACTCTCCATGGGGGATGGCCACGCTGCAATCCCTTCGCCTCCATTCTCCTCTTGTGATCTTAAGCATCCAGGTCTGGGATTCGAATTGCGGTCGACTACATGGGAGCCCAGCAACGTATCCATTATGCCATCTGCTGGTCCCCCAAGTTGCATTGTTGTAGATAAGATTTACATTCATTATTATTAGTTTCCTGTACCTTAGGACTTATAAAATAAATGCGTGAACTAGACAGAACACTGATTTTCTTTTTACTCATTTTAAAGGTTTTCATAATTTTTTTAACAGCATTTTTTAATTGTAAGAAAAATTTTTGTTATAGGGTACATGAGCTTGCCAGAGAGACAGAGAAACAGAATGAGAAATCACCCCCCGGGGGGGAAGACCACACCACAGTCCCTTCTCCTCCAGTCTCTTCTTGGGACTTTGGGCATACATGCGCATGTGCCCTGTGTGAGTTTGAAGCTGCTAGGTCTGGGACTTGAACTATGGTTTGCCATGTGGGAGTCCACTACACCATCTGCCGGTCCCAGTAGTATTTATTAGCCAGTTATTTTATAACGTTTTGGTGATACTTAAAGAAAAATACTGCTACTACTCTAATGTACTTGGTTGGATCATTAAAGGAAAGGAAGGCAGGCTGCCATTTGATAGTCTGTGCCGTCCTGATATTTTTGGAGCCCTAGACCAGGTTCCCCCATGAAGTTAATTCCAATTTTTATTTTTTGGACAGATTTTTGCTATAGAACGTGTGCACTCATCTGAGAGATGGAAAGACAGAAAGAGAAAAATCACCCCTCAGCAGGACGGCCACCCCACAATCCCTTCTCCTCCATTCTCCTTTGGGAATTTTGGGTGTGCTGGTACACTCACTGGGCATGAGTTTCAAGCTGCCAGGTCCGGGACTCAAACCACAGTCTGTCACATGGGAGTCAAGTGCGCCACCATCACACCACTTGCTGGCCCCAGAGTTACTTCTAGTCCTGAGATTCTGTGCAGCTTGTCCCAGGTCTTACTAATCTGAGCATACTGTGCAAACAATTTCTTAGCCTAAGTGTTAGAAATTATTATTCCAGTCACACGTCCGGTACATACCCACACCCAGGTATACAGGTGTGTGTGTGGTGTCCTCTGGGTCATCTTGGGCTCAGCCAGGCATTCAGCTGAGGCCACTCTCCCTGTGAGCAGAGCTAGCTCAGAAGCACAGCAGGCCAGCCAGGCAGCGGCAGGCATCGCTCTGACAAGAATGCACCCACAGCTGTCTAGGCTGTCAGAGTCCGGAACGTGGCCAGTTACAGGAAAGGGACAAGCCACAGTGGTCAGCGCAGGAGCCATTTAGATAGAAGTTCCATGGGCATGGTGGCTGCTTGGGCCCTGCAAGGAACCTGTCCAGTTCCTGTGGTCTCCTCACTCAGGAAGCACCTAGCTGGTGCCTCCCATTCCACCTTCCTCCCTAGCAGTTTATGCGTCCGAGTGATTTTTCCTAATAAGAGCATTATCCAGTAAATAAATTGCGTGGTCCAACTTGGCGGACTTGTAAAAACCTATGAAGTTAGACAGGCCGCAGACGTCCGTGGGGATAAGTCCTGACCCAGCCTTGCTGCAGGCAGTGGCGGGCTGTGCTGAAGTGTTGAAGGCCTCACCCGACCTCAGGTTCAGATCCGAGCCTACCAAAAACACCCTGAGTGCACACATGCCCAAGATACCCCCCACCCTCTCATGTACATCTTCCCCCCCTCGCAGATAAAAGTAGCTCAACTTTCTATAAAAGGATGAAGAATTTTCTTAACCCTTTATTCACAACATACTCTACTGTGGAAAAGGGCTGATGCCTGTCCAGCCGTGGGCCTCTGGCCCACCATGTGCCTTCCGTGCCCATTTATGCTCACTCAAGAGCTGACGGTCCTACGGGGCTGAACAGATGCCCCTGTTGTCAGTCCTACATTGTTGTAACTGAACTCGTCTTCAGAAAAACTGGAAGCATTTTCAAAGCACTAACTGTGTCAACCTTTTCCCTAGTAACGATGCGTCAGTTTGACCATCCTCACATTGTGAAGCTCATCGGCGTCATTACAGAGAACCCGGTCTGGATCATCATGGAGCTGTGTACCCTCGGAGAGGTACTGCAAGCTGGAGCCTGCTGTCTGCCTGGACGTGGCCGCGAGGCCAGGGTCTGTGCCGTGGCTGAGACCACTGCCTTGGACAGGCAGTGTGTACAGCTTATATCTTAGATTGCCCAGTGAGGTCTGACTGAGGTTACACGGTTCGGTCCAGAGAATATGGGTATTCCCAACTCATGTCTCATGAACTACGGCAGTAGCATCTTCTCCAGCCCAATGATTTATCAGAACTACCAGCAACAGATGACCAGAGGGTTCATGTTTCTCTCCCTCTGGTGTCATTGTCTAAAGAACTAGCCCAATGATTTCATGATCAGTGAGACAACGTTGATGGATTTGGGGTACATGAATGCGGATTTTAGGCAATTACCCATTGCCTCAGTCTGTCTTAGAATTCACTTTGCAGTGCCTTTTAGCCCAACTAATATGGTCACAGTTTCTTTTTAAAGTGTGAATAACACAGTGTTACTGTCAACAGCTCTCTGACTTCCTCCAAAATGTTTCTGGTGAGCCCTTCACCATCCCCTGGACTCTTGCTGGAAATGCACATTCTGGGCCCCACCCCAGGCCCACTGAATCAGATCCCTGAGGGCAGGGCAGGCCCAGACCAGCACTCTGTTCTCATCAACTGAACATCTCTGCTTCCTTTGTCCTGCACTTCCAAATCACATCGAGGGTTTACGGTTTACGTGTATTTTTTGATCATAGTGTTTTTCTGCTTTTGCTTCTGGAGAGTTTATTAATTCTTCCGGCTTAAAAAACTATTGCGAAATGTTTCTCTTCTGGTTATTCATTTTGTTGAGGTTGTTAAATTCTGCCTTTCTCTGCCATGTTTTCATTTAGCTGAATTAAAGGTGTAGGTGTAGCTGGAACTTCAGTAGCCCAGTGGGATAAACATCCAGTGTTGACCCTTTGACCTTTCCTGAGTCCAAAACTCATAGGGGAAGAAGAGGCGAGGGCCTCTCCTTCCTCCTCATAGAGTGTCCTCAGCTTTCCCGGAGGGACATGATGTTTAAGTGGAGGTGAAGTGTATTAGGTGGTTTGCATAGAAACTGGACCTTCTTGTTCCATTCGTTATTGTTTAGTGATACTTTATGGTCTCCCTTACAGCATATTTTTCTGTTCTTTTTACAAGTTTGTGTATAGTCAAAAAGATCCTAACTTTACAGTAAGACTTCAAATAAAGAACTATAATTTCTGAGTTAAAAATGTTTTACTTGTTATGCATCTTTTATTAGGGGAAAATTAAAGCCTTTTTTTATGTTACTAAAAATACACTCAAAATATCATTGTAACTGAATGTAACTGTCATGCCATTGATTTCTATTCTGTCACTAATTCTTTTTCTTTTTTCTTTCGGCCATTGTTCCAAAAGCTGAGGTCATTTTTGCAAGTAAGGAAATACAGTTTGGATCTAGCATCTTTGATCCTGTATGCCTACCAGCTCAGTACAGCTCTTGCGTATCTAGAGAGTAAGAGATTTGTTCACAGGTGAGTTAGAGACATGAGTCTGTTAGGTTGCCTTCTGATGGGGGTGGAGGGGTGGGGGAGGATGAGCAGGAAGAGTCCCACACCCCAGAGGCTTTTGTGTGTTGCTCTCTATCACCTATGGTCCCCGGAACTCACCTGCATTATGTGCTGTCAGAGGACAGTTCCCTGGCTTACTAGTACACATGGCAAGAGGACCTTCCCACTGTATATTTGAAGCCTGGTGTAAGACTTCCAGGTCATCTGTTCCTTCCACAGATACTGATAAGGGCCTGCACTCGGCTCTGGAGCAGTGAATATGTGAAAGCTGTCCCAAAACAGATGCAACAGTCTCGTACATGACATCTTCTGACATTCTGTGGCATTTCTCTGTAGTCTGGGTCTCAGTAGTTCAAATGCAAGTGAAAGCCCTTACAACTTATGTGCTAAGTATTGTTTATAGTGAGTTTTGTGTTAACCAGTAATAAATCAAACTGCATCGTGAAATAATTTACAAGTACTCCAAAGATAACTTTTATTAATGAAATCTCTTTAGTGAAGGCAAGATTACAGACCTTAATTGTGTATCACTGTCAGTTAATATGGTTGGTAATAGGATTTTATGGAAAGCAGTAAAGATTTTCATTATTTAAGAATATACTTTTTAATAGCTCAAAATAATTACCATTATTTATTAAATATCTGCTGAAAGGAATATATATCAAGTAAAGTTTTATATAGAGAGAGCCAGCTCAGTGGCTTGATGGTTAAGGCAACAGGGTCCTAGACCTAGCACCTTGAGAAACATGTCAAGCACGTGTGTGTGGACCCCACATCCTGACAGGTAGAGAGGTGACAGAGAGGGACCGCTCCCCGTGGGGAGTGCTTTCTCCTCACCCGCTCTTTCTCTGTCTTACTTTGGCGAACTCACACCCTCTAACAACAGCAGCAATGTGTGTGTGTGTGTGTATACATAGATACATGTTACATGTGTTATATCTAACTTAGTCTGTTGGCATTGTATGCAAGCTATGCATCTGTATGTCTTTATGTACTATGGAGGAGTTTGTGGGTTTTTTTCTTGTGTTAAAATTTTTGCCTCAACTTCTTCCTTATCAGAGATATTGCTGCTCGAAATGTTCTGGTGTCCTCGAATGACTGTGTGAAATTAGGAGACTTTGGATTATCCCGATACATGGAAGATAGTACTTATTACAAAGGTAAGCTATCAGAGCAATAAGAAATTGGCTCAGCATCCGTAATATGTTCGTATTCCTAAAAACGATGTGCCTGGGCCAGCAGGTTGGTGGAGGTTAAAGTGTTAGATCTCATTTAGCCAACTCTGCTGTTCAAGTCCCAGACCTGCAGCTTGAAAATCATGCCAGATATAAGTGCATGTCCAAAACCCCAAGAGGAGAATGTGGCCATTCCCCCGGGGGATGATTTCTCACTTTCCCTTTCTCTTTTTCCCATGAGCACAGGTGCCTTGTAACAGAAAATTTCAAAACAACAACCAAAAAAAGAAGAAGGAAAATAAAAGGGGGGAGAGGGCAAATATGTTCTAATATGCTCAACTGAATTTTGACCATGATGGAAATCAGCTTAGTGGGGGGCAGACACCTTTTCAGTAATGGTGCTGGAGCAGTTGTGTGTCCCTAGGCAGAGAGTGAACTTCAACTAGACTTCAAAATGGCAGAGGCACCACTATAAAGCATAAAACAGATTTTTAGGGAAAACGTTTATCTTTGGGATATAGGTCTAGGCAAAGGGTCCTTAGATTTGACATCAAAAATAAGGACCTATAAAAGGAACAAATTTGTAAATTAAACCCATGAAAATTAAGAATTTCTTTTCTATGGAAGATGCTGTTTAAAGGATGGAAAGAGAAGCTACAGGGTAGGAGAGAATATCTGCCAGTCCATAACTGACAAAGAGCAAGTACCTAGAATGCAGAAAGGACTCTCAGACTCCCATAGGCGTGGGGCCAAGTGGTGGTGCAAACGGACCGGTGTGCACGAGGCCTTAGATTCGCGTCCCTAGGCCTTCCTGAGCAGGCCAAGCACACGATGCCACTGAACCAGGCTGGCTGAGACTGGGAGTGGTCACAGCCTAGGAGCCCTTCTGAGGTGCCTGCACTCCCCACTTTCCTCCCCCTCCACCCCATCACCCTGTTTTTGTCTCTTATGGAAGAAGGAAATAAACTTAAAAAAAAACTCTATGGTGCAAACTTTAAAAATACATTTAGAATATGGGCAAAGATACGAAGGAGACATTTCACTGAGAGGGTATATAGATAGCAAAGAGTTCATCGAGGTGTTCAGCTCTTTATCCATTAGGAAAATGCAGATTAAAGCTACAAGAGAGTACTACACACCTGTCAGAATTACTAAACTAAAAAATAGTCATAACACCAAGTGCTGGCAAAAATGTGGAGAAACTACTCATAAATTGCTGGTGGGAATGTAAAATGGTAGAGCTACTTGGGAGAGTTTGGTAAGTTCTTACAAAAAATAAGCAAGAGGGGACAGCAGGTGGCGTGGTGGTTAATGCGCTTGGGTCCCACGTAGCTGAGTCTGGTTTGAGTCCCAGACCTGGTGGCTTGAAAATCACACTGGGCATGTGTGCACGAGCCCAGATTCCTGAGAGAAGGGACTGCACTGTGGTCATCCCCCTCGGGGAGTGATTTCTCACTTTCCCTGTCTCTGGCAAGTTCACATGCCCGATGGCAAAAACCTAAAAACACAAAATCCTACACAGGCGATCTCGCAAAAGGCCTTGGAGTTGGCCTCCTGGGCAGTTCTTCCAGAGAAATGAAAATTTAGGTTCACGCAGAGCTTTTACTCAAGTGTTCATTGCACTTTATTTGTACCCACAAATTGGAGTCACCCCTGATGCCTTTGACCTGGTGGTCAGCCCTAGGCACGTGGAACTCGGTGCAGTGATAGCCTTGAGGAAAGGACTCTCACTGAAAACTGCCAAATCTAGCAACTTTGAGCAAAATCTAGCTTTTGTGGATTTTCTGGGTTTTTTGTTTTATGTTTTTCCCAGAGGGTGAGTGTGCTTGCCAGAAAGAAAAAAGAGGCGGGAGAGGAGAAAGCACCCCTGTGGTGCAGGGTCATTCCGCAGGCTCCTTTCCTGCACCTCTCCCTCCTTTCGGGGTTTCGAGCTTGCGTGCACATGTGGACTCTGTTTCGCAGGCTGCCAGACCCAGGTCTCATGGTTGACCCAAGTAGGATCTGGCTGCCTCAACCACCAGGCCACAGAACCAGACTTGAATTTTCTTTAATTTTGCCTATTTGGAATCAGATTGCATTGATTCTTCACGTTGTTACTGAACAGAATTTTTATTAATGTCATTTTCATGTTCCTAGAGCATCAGCTAAAGTCTGGTTGTTTTCCATATGGTTGTAGTGTGCTCACTAATTATTACTACCATTTTATAAAACCCAGTTTCTTTCTTGGTGTGTTTGATTTTTTTTTCTTTTTCTTTTTTTTTTTTCTGGAGAGGTTTTTGCTCTAGGGTGCATGTGCTCGCCAGACAGAGACAGAAAGCAAGAAGTCACCCCCTGGGGGGATGACCACACCGCAATCCCTTCTCCTCCATTCTCCTCTCCGGATCTTGGACACGCACGCACATGCGCCCAGCATGAGTTTAAGCCACCAGGTCCAGGACGCAAACTGCGGTCGACTACATGGGAGTCCAGCGACATAGCCATTACGCTAACTGCTGGTCCCTCGGTGTGTTTGATTTTTCATTGCAGTAATGAGCCCAGATTTTTACATATATATCTGGTCTCTTCCCTTTTGTACTATATATCATATATATATATCATACCTGTTCTCTTCCTTCTCCCTATTGTTTTTTTTTTTTTTTTTTTTTGAGAGGTTTTTGCTATAGGGCACATGCGCTTGCCAGACAGACAGACAGAGACAAAAAGCGAGAACTCACCCCCCTAGTGGGGATGGCCACGCTGCAATCCCTTCTCCTTCATTTTCCTTTTGGGATCTTGCGCACACATGCACACATGCCCGGCTTGAATTTTAAGCCACCGGGTCCAGGACTTGAACCATGGTCGACTACATGGGAGTCCATGACATATCACCATTTTAACAATGATCCTTTTTTTTTTTTATTTTTTAAATAATTATTTATTTTATTTTTATTTATTCATTCATTTATTTTTTTAATTTGACCAGAGAGACACAGAGGGTGAGAGTGAAAGAGAGAGGAAGTGAGAAAGCAAGCCACCAGATTCAGGACTCAAACCCTGGTCGGCCATGTGGGAGTGTCCAGTGCCTTAACCACCACACCACCTGCTGGTCCCAAACAATGATCCTTTTATTTATAAAAATAAAATTGATTAGTAATTTATCTTCAAAAAAGACCAAGTCAGCTTTCCATTATTTTGAAATGCACTTTTTAAATAATTGTTTTATTTTAACTTTATTTTTTATTATTTTTCAGTTTGACTAGAGAGATACAGAGAGAGAGAAAGGGGAAGGTGAGAGAGGAAGCCTCCGGGTTCAGGATCCGAACCATGGTTGGCCATGTGGGAGTCTAGTGCCTTTAACCACTACGCCATCTTCCAGTCCCCGAAATGCGTTTCTTTCCAGCTTTAGTCACAATCAGTTCAAGTCCTAGGAGCTGAATTCTATGCAGTATGATGACCAAGATTTTACATCATCAAAATAGTGTTTAAAATAGGCAGTTGACAAGATCCCAGAAGTACTACTATTTCAGAGGCTAGTAAATAAGAATATACTTAGACTATGAAAAATAACCCCTTGGGACCAGCAGTTAGCATAATGGCTATGTCGCTGGACTCCCATGTAGTCAACCGTGGTTTGAGTCCTGGACCCGGTGGCTTAAACTCACGCCGGGCGCGTGTACATGTGTGCCCAAGATCCTGAGAGGAGAATGGAGGAGAAGGGATTGCGGCATGGCCATCCCCCCTGGGGGGTCATTTCTCGCTTTCTGTCTCTCTCTCTCTTTCTGGCGAGCACACGCGCCCTATAGCAAAAACCTCTCCCCCCCAAAATAATAAATAAATAAATAAAATAACCCCTGAAAAGTTAGGGATTGTTCATAACACGCCTCTTTCCAGGAATTCTGGCAGTGTTCAATGGTGGCTTTTTGCTCCCCAAGGAAGGCCAGACCCTTAATAGGCTGACATAACCCCCTGGCTGCCTCAACTCAGGCCCTGGGAGCCGGTGCCTATCCCAGCCGACTCCTTGCACTCCTGTGTCCTCTTCCTGCAGCCACCCTGACTGGCCTCTCAGTCACTGTCTCCTCCCTCCTTGGGACACCTGTGTGAACTCTGTATCTGTTTTGCCTCACTTGACTGTACTGTGCTCCACCCATTGGAGTGAGGATTCCTAGGCAAGGTCTTCCGGATTGTTCACCCAGGGAGCTCGGCAGCTGAAAGCATGTTTAGTACAGTTGGGGTTGTTTGCTTGGTGGCAGTAAGGAAAGGTTTAGGCCTCAAAAGAAGGCTGCTAACAGGCTTTCCTGAGGCAGAATCTGCTTTTTCATCGCTCCTTCCTGCTCTGCACATAGTGGTACAGATGCGGTCAGTCCTGATTATCGTGGGTGATGTGTTCATGCACTCGCCTGGTTGCTGAAATGTGTTCATAACCCCCAGTTCTCGAGGTGCTTTTGTAGTCATCGGAGGACACACAGCAGTGAAAAGCTCGAGTCTGTCTAATGACACGTCCCTCCCGTCTCAGCCAAGAACAGCTCAGGGCCTTTGGAGAGGTTCTGGTCCCACCCCGGGATCTGTTGTGGGGATCTGTAATGGGGGTCTGTAGTGGGTCTGCAGTGGGGTCTGTAGTGGGGTCTATAGTGGGGTCTATAGTGGGGTCTGTAGTGGGGTCTGTAGTGGGGTCTGTAGTGGGGTCTGTAGTGGGGTGGCTTCACACATGTCACTTAACCCCTGTGAGCCTCATTTTAAAGGAAAGTAAAGCCGACCAGAGTGAGCTGTTGTAGGGTGTAAGGTTGTAATCGATGAGGTGGGTGCGTATTTCCCCAGGAGCCTGTATGTTGTGTTTGCCTGGACTTTGTAGTGCGTAACACCCCCGTGAGAGTCGGTGACACCCAGGGTTTGGGGTTTTGTTTGCCAGAGCAGGCACATGGAGAATCACCTTCCTGAGGAAATGGCCGTGCCGCAGAACCATTTCTTCCTTTCTCCTCTCCAGATTTTGCACGTATATGCTTTGCCCCGGTGTGATTTTTCTTAACCTAGTGGCTCAGGGACTCGAACCACAAATCTAACTGTGTGGGATCTGGCACCTTAACCTCCATACCAGCTGCTGGCTGAGTTGTCAGTTTTTATTTCCCTACCCCCAGATGGCCTTGGAACACCAAGGAAGGGAAATAAGTTCTCCCAAAGGAACAGCCGTCCTAAGGGATCAGATAGTTAAAGCTTTTCATTTGGGTACTGAAAATCTGAGGCAGCTCTCACTGTTAGGTTTTTCGGCAAATAACTGGAATTTTTTCTGCACTTAATCTTCTAGCTTCCAAAGGAAAATTGCCTATTAAATGGATGGCGCCAGAGTCCATCAATTTCCGACGTTTTACCTCAGCTAGTGACGTGTGGATGTTTGGTGAGTGTTTTCATTTGTATTCATATGTTCATAAACATATCTCATCAGTGTAGCTCCTGTGTTCATAAATAAGCTCAGCACGTGTCCCTTCCAAGGACGGGGTTTGTCGTCGCCTGTCAGACGTGCTTTGGGGTGAGGAGCTGTCTGTTCAGGGCCTGCGTGCTGGCCACGTGGTTCCGTGCCGCCTGGTTCGCCCGCTCCGACTGGCTTCCTAGGCACTGTGTCATCTGACACACCGACTGTCACGGTTCTGCTGCTCCTTTCCTCGCTGGAGGTGCAGGTCTCCATCCGCTCTGCGCTTTCTCCCTGTCGTCCTGTTCACTCCTGCCCTGCCTTTGCTGTGACAGCCCTCCAGCCCAAGCATCTGAAACTGCAGTCTTGTCTCTCTGTTCTGCACCCTGACCTCCTCACCAATGTGTCTTAAGACCTGGGAGTTAGGCCTCCTGCCTTCTGTGGCTCCTCTCACGTCTAGTCCGTCCTTCCCTGTGCTCCAGTGTCGTCGTTGCCTCCCCACCCCCTTGGATTATTGCAGTATTCCCAGCTGTTGTAAACATTCACTAATTCATTCTACTATGTTATTCTAAATTTTGGAATTGTCCCTTTTAATATAGAATTGTCCCTACCCCCACCTTCCTAGTGCTTCTGCTTCTCCCTGGAATACCTTCTCCTATCTCTCCTCTCACTGAGGAGGGCCCTTCAGAGCCTGCCGTCCGTGTCCCCTTGACTTCCTTTGCTCCACACTTCCTGCGTTCTCTCTGTCATAACACTCGTTTTTAATAATTATAGATAAAGGAACTTTCAAGTACAACAGGAATAGCATGACATGATTAGAAAATGCTCTGGAGTCCAACTGATGTGGGCTCAAGTCCCAAGACCTCAATTAGCTGTGTAACCCACAGAGCTCTCCCCTCAAGGAGAGCTTATATTTCAAAGGTTCGAAAATGCCTATGTTTTTTACATTTTGACACTTCTTGAAGAGGGTCATTGAAATCAGTGGCATTTTGCAATTGGTATTGATTGGAAGCTTTTTTTTTTTTCTTTTAAGAGAGATTTTTGCTGTATGGTGCATGCGTTCCCCAGAGATAGAGAGAGAGAGAGAGTGAGAAATCTCCCTGCCAGGGGATGGCCACACCATAGTTCCTTCTCCATTCTCGTCTCTGGATTTTGGGCACACGCACACACACACGCATGCGCGTGCACGCACTTGCCTTGAGTTTCAAGCTGCCAGGTCCAGCACTCAGACTACAGTTAGCCACGTGGGAGTCCAGCCCTTACCTGCAGCACCACCTGCTGACCCTGAAAGCATTTGATTACAGTTGTCCTTGCCTGCATTCATGTAGACTTTGTCTGATGTGTTTGTGATGTTACTTTATGTCTGAAGGAGTTTAGATATTTTGTTTTTATTTTGTCTTTAAGATTGCCATAGGGTGCATGCACTTACTGGGGGGAAGAAAGAGAGTGAGAAAGTCAGAAATCACCCCCCCTAGGGGGGATGGCCATGATGTAATCTCTTCTCTGCCACACTCCTCTGGAGACTTGGAACATGCATGCACACATGCCTCGTGTGATTTTTCAAGCCACCAGGTCTAGGGCTTGAACCACAGTCATATGGCAGTCCAGTGCCTTAATCACCATGCCATTGCTGGCATAGTGGTTATGTTGCTAGACTCACACACGGCTGACTGCAGTTCAACTCCAGGGGCTTCAAAAGCATGCTGTGCATAGGTGCATGTGTGCCCATGATCCCAGGAGGAGAATGAAGTAGGGATTATAGTGTGCCATCCCCCAGGGTCTGATTTCTCCCTTTTCCTCTCTCTGTCTCTGACTGTCTGTCAAGCATTCGTGCCCTACAGCAAAAACCTCCATTAAAAAAACAAACAAACAAACAAACAAAAAAACTCTTTGATAAGAATAAAATAAAAACTGTTGGCTCTAATAAAGGAGTGTATCATCATTTAGTTGTCAGTGTTTCCCCCCTTTTTGGTTGCTAAATAATAGTATAGGGGTCAGCAGGTCGTGGGGCAGAGGTTAAGGTGACTGGATCTCACAGGGCCAACTGAGCAGTTCAGGTTCCAGACTCGTGCACATGTGCATACATGTCTAAAATCCCGAGAGAAAAGTGGTGGAGAAGGAATTGTGCCGTGCCCATCACCTCTGGGGGTTCATTTATCACTTTCCCTCGCTCCAGTGAGCACATGCTCCTGATAGCAAACTGGAAAAAATAGTAACAATCATAGTGTTTCTTATAATTGGTGTTTCTGATTGTATCAGATTTGACAGGATACATTAAAAGAAATGTAAGGTGAGCCCATATGGTTAGGGGAAACCAAATCCTACCTGGCTGATTGCAGTTCGAGTCCTGGCCCTAGCATGCTTGAGAAACACATCAGATACGTGTGCGTTTATGTTCAAGGTCCTTACGGCATGTAGAGATGGGAGCAAAGGGATTGGGGCAAGACCATGTCCCACTGGGAGTGCTTGATGTCTCTCCTGTCCCTCTCTGTCTGTGCCTCTGGCAAGTGTACCTCTAGTAATCAACAGGGAAAGAAAAGAAATCTAAGGTTGTTGTGAGTATTAGGGATAACATATGCACATTTGAAGAAGGATACTAGCGACATAGTAAATTCCCCAGAAACGATACCGTTGTTGTTATTACTGATAGTGATTCAGGGGAGAAAAGCAGCACCAAGACGTTTTACTTCCAAGACTTTCTATTTGAAATTATTGGATTTTTGACTGATTCCAAAACTTCATTCATATCAATATGGTAATAGGCTTTGCCTCCTTGAGCAGATACTGTTCTAGGCACTAAAGATGTGAAAATAAAGTCACAGTTTCTCTCCTCAAGGCACCGATCGTATGGTGTACACGTTAATAGAAGCAGGCAGTAAATTTTCTCAGAGGAGGATCAGTCAAAGGGTCGGAGAAGAACTGCATTTCATACATACCTAGAAAGAGGGGGTTTGCGAAGGAGAATAGGAGACTGAGCAGAGGTGTGGACATGTCCAGAAGCCGACAGGGAGCTGTGTGGCCTGGATGCTGAGTGGTGGTTGTAAGAAGCCAGGAGAAACCCTGTACTATGTATGCTAGCCTGCTTTCTTTATTTCCTTTTCATTCCAGTATGTAATCCCCATTCTCAGTTGTAGGGTTTTGTTTCATTTAAAGGCGAATTTTTAGGGACTGTTCAGAAGATACTGAGGAAGTGTTTGATTTCCCAAGGTGGAGAGTGCAAGTAAACTTTCCAAGGTCACCTTTGTACGTGGCTAAGATCACTGTAGCCCAGAGAGGGCCATACCCTTCCTGTGGGGAACAGTGACAGGTCAGGGTGGGCCAATGGTGGTCCCATGGAGCACATAGGCGAGGGCAGGGCAGCCTCATGACAGGAGACAGACTAAGGAACCAGAGTTCTGGAAACAGACTTACACTTTAGAAGTTTTTGTTGGGCTTCAGGTCAGCTGCTATAAACAAGCAGGCTGGACTGAGGGAAGGGGAAATTGAGACTTCAGTCACGTGTTCTCTGACTGAGTGATCAGTGAGTATTGCCGTAGCTGGTGAGTCATTTTCTGCTGTAGGATTTTCAGAGAGTGACGCCTCCGAGGGAAATGACAACCTTCCTTGATAGTAACTCACACTCCGTTGTTCACATCGGATAAGCTAGCCTCATCTTTGGTCAGACAGCTTGCCCTGGATCTCGCAGCTTGCCCTGGATCTCGGCCCGCCGCCCGAGCCCTGGAATGCCGCCCCCCTGAGCCTCCGCCCTGTGTTCCTCCCCGCCTACAGGTGTGTGCATGTGGGAGATCCTGATGCACGGCGTGAAGCCTTTCCAAGGAGTGAAGAACAACGACGTGATTGGGCGCATCGAAAACGGGGAGAGGTTACCGATGCCTCCAAACTGCCCTCCTACCCTCTACAGCCTTATGACGAAGTGCTGGGCCTACGATCCCAGCCGGCGGCCGCGGTTTACTGAGCTCAAAGCTCAGCTCAGGTAGGAGTGGGGCCGGGAACCCGGCGGGAGTAGGGGTGCTGCTGCTCCTGGCTGCAGTGGTAGTGTTTTAAGGTTGTTTGTCTGTGACCTCAGGCAGGACTGTTTCTCGTTTGCACAGTGACCCAGTTTGAATTTTTTTGTACCTTGCTTGTCTAAGTAAATGATGTCTAAAGATTTTCATGAAGTTCCAGTGATGATCAGCACTCTTCCCCCAGCTCCTGACCGCATGGCTTACAAGCCCTGCAGTAATTTAGTCCCTGTCTCTCTGCCTGGCCCTGTTTACTCGGGCAGCACCTGGACATTGCCATTCTGGCATAGCCCCAGCCTTTCACCTGCCTTTTCTCTCCCAGAAATACTTCTCTCCACTTTTGCCTCCTGAACAGAAACTCCCCTGTTCCATGTTCAAATCCAGTTCAGATGTAAGCTCTTCAGAAATGCCTCTGAGCAGTCCTACCCTCAGATAGGCCGCCCCTTTGAGTACTTTTCTCATCTTTTAAGACAACCGTGACTTGCTCAAGAGATGTGTTGTGGCTCCTGGTATGTGCCAGGCCCGGCAGGCCTTGCACCTACTGTAGCCCTGGGGACCAGGACACCGGCACCGCTCTCCATGCAGCGTACCAGCCAGACTCAGAGCTCTTGGGCATCACTGTCTGGCTCACCTCTGCAGCCCCAGAACCAAGCTTCGGAACTGGCCCCTCATCAGTGCTCAGTGAACATTTGTTGAATTGACTTAGAATCTAGATTAAGACTTAGCACTTTAATAAACAAAATATTTTAAAACAATTTCTAGGCACAAGGAGCTTAATTTCGTAAGCAGTGCCATAGTTTAGTGTGTGCATTACCACCCCTTCTCACATTTGAGACACTTCCCTGGTTTTATGGGACTCATTGTTATTTAACTTGCTTTATATTTAGTTTTTGTTTGTTTGTTTGTTTATAAATATAACCAAATAAATGTCAGGGTCCAGAAGACCCTAAGGGGTCCCTTTCCCCAAACCCCTCACCCAGTGCTTGAGTCTTCCCTCTGCCTTACCACACTTGGTGTCTCTGCGAAGAGCGAAGAGCCCCAGTGGAAGTATAAAGGAGCTGTCTGCTCAGCAGCTGTGGCTGAGCACTTCTGCTCCAAGGCGAGTCCGTGGCTTCAGCAGTGAACAGAACCCAGTCCTCACCCCACTACGCTGCGAACCCTGTGGTACAGCCTGTATCGGTGGCGGTGACGTGGCGAGAGCTGTGCCCCGAGAGCACGGCGTTCCCAGCCCCACCGAATAGCTCACCTTCCTCACTTCTGTCCTCGGAGTATTTCTAAACCACTTGCTTATCTCCTTTCAGTTTTCTTCAAGCTAAATCGCTCTGGTTTTTAATTCTCTTATAACTTAATTACATATTCTCTTGCCGCTATAACCAGTTTCCAGGTGTGCTCTATTTCATGTTTTGCCCATCATTTTTTTTTTTTAGTTTAATATATTTAATAGCAGACTTACAGGGATGGCACAGAAGACAGACCACAGTAACAACATGTACTCGCATATAGGACAGCTCACTTAGAAAAGTACAGTGACTGGATGGAGTCTACTGTATGATAAAAATGCTGCAAACACCATTTAGTTGCCATCAATAAGAAATTCACTTGTTTTTAAAAAGTCCAAATGCTGGCATTGTCCAGAAAAATTGAACAGCTTTATTTGTAATCGTTGTAAACTTGAACTGCTGAAACTTGTTCACCAAAACATTTTGACTTGCATTAATGCTTTACATCCCTGCATTTATATTAAAAATCCACACACAAATGAAAATGGAAAAACTGCCAATACCCGATTTCTGTCCCCTATTTTCCACTCGCAGTCATATACTTAAGTAGCTTTTGACCCCGTGGAGAAAAAAATCTAACGTTCAGAACTACCAGTAACAGGAAGAAGAGAAAAAAAAAATTGTTTTTTTCCAAAATGAAATGTTTCCTATCATAGTGGATTCTTAAGCACGTTTTCCACATATGTGGCGTGCTAGCTGGATGTCTTTTGGCATTATTGTTACACGTTTGGCATGGATAGCACACAGGTTGGTATCTTCAAAAAGGCCAACCAAGTAGGCCTCACTTGCCGCTTGCAAAGCACCAATAGCTGCGCTCTGGAAGCACAGATCTGTTTTGAAATCCTGAGCAATTTCTCGCAGCAGACACTGGAAAGAAAGTTTGCGAATCAGTTCAGTGGACTTCCGACGACATCTAATTTCACGGAGTGCCACAGTACTGGCCCTGTAACGATGAGGTTTCTTCGCCCCTCCAGTAGAGGGCGCACTCTTGCGAGCAGCTTTTGTAGCCAGTTGCTTCCTGGGTACTTTACCACTGGTGGATTGCGGGCTGTCTGCTTTGTACGAGCCTGGGTAAAGAGACCTCCTCACTTAACTCCTTCTTCAGCTGGAGCTCTGCGAGCTAGAGGCGGCTCTGGAGTTGGAGAGCGACAGCCAACCCCTTAATGTTTTATTTGTTCTTCTTTATCTCCCATAAAACAGCTTTTGACAAATCTTGTCCTTGAACTTTCCCCTTCTCTGATAGGATTTCTGTCCCCATCTCCCCAGCAGCTCCTGACCCACATAGGCCAACCGGCCCTCCACCTTAACTGGAGGTGGTGGCCACGTCTCTCCTTGGCCTCCTGTTCTCGTTCAGGGCTCTTCCTGCACTGCTTCTCATCATTGTCAGTCTTTTTAGTTTTTTGCTGTAGGGTGTTTGCACTTGCTGGGAAGACCCGAGACAGAGAGAGGGAAAGTGAGAAATCACCCCCTGGGGGTATGGCCATGCCACAGTCCCTTTTCCATCCATCTGTAGGAATTCTGGGCATGCATGCACACACACTCAGCATGCTTCTCAGGCCACCAGGTCTGGGACGCGAACCGCAGAGTTGGTCATGTGAGAATCCAGAGCCTTGACCACCATGCCACCTCCTGGCCCCTTTGTCAGTCTTTAGCTTCTGTTACTGTTTCTCACATGTCCTTAACCTACATTTTAAACTGACACTGTATTTATCAGAAAAGCAAAGCTGTTCTTCCCGTGCCTGCTTTTGCCCCAGCCTCTCTCCCATCTTCTGGTGTAAGGGCTCCATCAGCCCACTGAGATGTCAACAAATTGCAGGAGCTCTCAGTGAGCCTTCCCTGTTCAGGAGGAGCTTCCAGGGGAGTGCTGGGCCTCCTCTGTCAGGGCCTGACAGCTGCCCACGTCCCTCACACACTGGCCAAACTAGCCCCACCCCACCCAAGGATTCCCACCATCTCTGGGCTGTTCTCACTGTGTAACTCCCCTGACCTCCCTCCTGACCCACCTCACACTCTGCTCCTCCATGGGCTCAGGCGGCTGCCGCCCTGTCCAGTTCCACCTGGTGGGTGCCTGCAGTAGCTGAGCTTGGTGTGAGTCACTGGACAAAGGCAACCAAGCACTGTTCCTGCCCTCGAGCTAACAGTCTAGTATGTCTTGTCCCTACTAGACTGAAGCTCCTTGAGGACAGGGACTGTCATGCTCACCTTGGAGCTGCCTTCTCCAGGCCGAGAGCCAAGACACAGGCAGAGGCAGCCGGGCCTGAGCCCACGACCTAGGTCGCTCACGTTCACCTAGTGTCAGCTTAAGGAGCGCTTCGTGACGGAGAGCAGCTCCAGACCCAGCGTGCTGTACGTGCGGACTCTGCACGGGTAGTTTCAGATGCCCCTTTCTTGTAGTTTCCAGCCCCTTCCTCACACACGGGCACAGGTAGCTGAGCTTCTGTTCACTCTTCACGAGGCAGGAGTGGAGTCTGGCTGCACTCGCTGACCATGTGCTGCATGACGACTGAATGGGCCAGTGAGATTTTGCTTTATAGTATAATAGCTTGTTTGGACACGATGTAATACTGTATTACCATTGTAGGTTCTTTTACCGAAGTTTTCCAAATTTTTGCTATATCCAGGATTTTTAGAAAGGAATAATAAAAATTTAAGATAGCCCTTACAAACCACAGCATGGTTGTTAAAAATGTTTCCCAAACCTCATTCTCATTCTCTGCCTAAAAAGGAAATATTGCAAGTGGACTACAGTCACTGGGATGCCTCTCATCCTTAACTCAGCTGTGTGTTCACTTCTGACTACGTTAGTTAAGAAAAATGACTTTCAGGATGAAACTTCGGAGGCATAGTCATAGGAAAATTACCTTGGTCAGACTGATTCATGAGTTGATCTCTATGACTCAAGGAACCTGCCTCCTTATGTCCTGTTTCCTTATTCGTCTGTGTGAATTCCTTGAGCAATAGAAGATGAACCTGCAGGTGGCCTGTTGTGGAGTGTGCTCCACTTCCCAGGAGGGATACTCCAGTGCTGAGCGGCTACCCTCTCCCACGCTGCACACTTCAGCATCCTGTGCCTTGTGATGAGTAGGTTAGAAGACTGCACCAGATGCTTTCTGAGTGAAGAGTCCTTTCATCTTGGTTAATTAATTCTTTCGTAGCTACTCTGCCAAGAAACCTAGTCAGCAACTTCAGTGTTTGCCGTCTTGGTGCTCACGTTCCAATACATTACTTCCCAGCCCAGGCATGGCAGCACAGGCAGCGAGGTGCCTGCTGACAGCACATGCAAACCATGTGGGGCCCTCACCCCTAGTCCTGGTTGGTTAGAGGGCTGGGAGAGGACTGTGACAGAACCTCATCTCAGGTCCCTTCATCTCACCTCTGTCTCTGTCTCTCTCTCTAGAAATAAACTAAAAAAAAAGTAGTATTTCCTGGCAGTAGTCTCCTTGATTAAGGTATTTGTGCCACTGTAAAAAAAGACTATCAGTTTTATATCAGTTTAGAACAACATTTTAAGTTAAGTTCAGTTTCTTAAATCCTTTTTAGACAAATCAATTCAGTAGATAAAATTGCATTTTAAAGTTTTACTCCATGATGTTTGTATAGTTGTAATTTCTATTGTGGTATAATGCAGCTGCCACACCTACATTGAACACAGGGCAAAGAACTCGGTGCCTTTTCCCCATTTGGGTACCCCG